AGATGGCGCCCGTGCGGTGGATCTGCGAAGCGGAAGCGGCACGGTACTTGCAGAGTTGCGAGACCACCATGACCCTGTTTTCCTGTCGGTTCCTTTCCGCTCGTGTTATTTTTTTTTTCTTCTCTCTCTGCACACCTGCTTCCGTCAAAGTGAAAATTCCTTCCAGAGTTTTCTGTTTGGTCTTGGCCGATCACCTCGTCTGATGTCGCCGGGCGATCTCATGCTCTTTCCCTCGCCTTGGTCCAAGAAACAACGGCTGGTCCGAACAGCCCAGAGACCAGGTACCTGACTCTTTCCCATCAGTGATCTGTCTGTTTGCCCCCCTCCAAAAGCTGGTTTTTGTTTGGCGGTTGCGTCAATGTCAGGAACAACGGTCGTCAGTCGCCTGCCACGCTGATGCCATGCTGCCATGTAGCTGGCCACACACACACACACTACCTTACTCAGGCACAGGGTAGCTTACTTAGTAGCTGTGTGCGCCTGTCCGGCCGTCTCCCGTCCCTCCATGCAACCCTGGAGAGAGAGAGAGAGCTTTGATAGTCGACAGAGAGGTGTCCCTGACGTCAATCGGAGGCTTCGGGATCTCCACCCAGCCGCGGGCCACGGCGGATCATCTCAAGCCAAGCAGGGCTCGTCCGCTAAGCCAGATTGCGAAGACGCGACCGCCGTCGCCAATTCGCCAAGCTGAAAGGGTCCGATTCGCCATGTCCATGTTGGAGCCAATTGTGGTTCCCAACCGAGTCTCTCTTCGGCGAATTCCAGCCCAGACCCTGGACGCTGCAGGGCATCCCGAGCAACAGCTACCGCAGTGCTGCCAGCCACGGTCCCCTCTCGGCGGGATCATGGGTCCTGCTGGGTGGTGGTGACTGGGTCTTGGCTATCAGAATTATTGACCTCTCCCGGAGCCTCAACTCGAGGCACTCCCAGAGCGGCCGTCTCCTCTTAGTGGCCGAGCATTCGACCGAACAGAGACTGGTCGGATTCAACGACCGATGGGATGGACGGAGGTACCTGGTGTCCGTACCGGTACTCTGTACCCCTTCTCCGTCTTCATCTCGTTGCCATCTCCGAAGGTACCTCTCTCTTCCTTCACTGTGGGCATCGTGATCAAGACAGTGTCACGGTATTCCCACGGTCTGGCCAGAACCACCTCATTGCCTCCCCATATCCCCTCCTCCCACAGTCCACAGACGTACGTTGCTGCATTGCCCAGGTTTGGCCCGCACGCTTGGTTTGCTCGCCCACGGGCCCCCGACTTTCACTTGTGCGTTTGGCGGTGGGGGCTTTCTTTGCTTGGTCAGAAAACGGAGAAGAGAAGGTGATCATGAGGCATGAAAAGCACCTTTCCATCGGCGCGGGTGTGGGAACATGCGCGGAGGCGAACGGGGGTCTACGGGGGAAGACGGGGTGAGTTTTTTCGAGAAGCTGGTCACACGTCCAGAAGACAGCCTTTGCTGCCCCAGTGAATCTCCAGTTTGGCCCTTCAACCCAGTCCTTGGTCTTGGTTTCTCCTTACACACTAGTTGCAACCTTGGGGTGAGGTGAATGGGGAGACTGGGCCTTCCGGGAGAGACCACGCATCGTGTAATGTACACTCCAACTCCAGTGTGCCCCTTCCTTCCTTCCTCGAATACAAATACACATTTTCGCTCCTTCCGTTTACTGTCCTGCTCCTTCCTTCCCATACTCATCACATCTAATCAGAGTTTTATCTCACCTCACCTTCCTCCCCCTTTACCTCTTCCCCTTCCCACCTCCCACCCACAACAACAAACATCAACAACACCACAACAGCTGGATCGTGAAAACCCCATCCACCTTCCAACCATCAACAATATCAACACTCCGAACCATACAAAACATCATCACACAGCAACACCACCATTGCCCAAGGGCTTTACAATATGCATTTCCCCAAGTTCGGTGGTAAAGACGTCGAGCACAAGGACCGTGCCGGCGACGTCCAGTCTCCCGATGCCGCCTCCGCCGACATCACCGCCGAGCAGAAGGTCACCTTCGCCGCTGCCTTCCTCGGCCTCGTCGCCTCCATTGGAGGCTTCATGTTCGGATATGTCAGGTATGTTTTGCTTTTTCCCATCCGGTCGGCCTCAACCCGAGACTTTTCCGAGTCTTCTGAGACCCGACTCACCTTAATCCGTTTGCTGCGGACCCCCGCTGACAGACTTCCTCCTCTAGTGGTCAGATCTCCGGCTTCTTCTTGATGGAGGATTACATGGAGCGCTTCGGTGAGCTCCAGTCTGATGGCTCTATCGTCTTCTCCGCCGCCCGCCAGGGTACCATCGTCGGTCTCCTCTGCATCGGCTGCCTGGTCGGTGCCCTCATCGCCGGAAAGCTCGCCGACACTCTTGGCCGTCGCCTTACCATCTCCGCCTTTGCCTTCTGGTCTTGCGTCGGTATTGTCATCGAGGTCTCCTCCGAGAAGGCCTGGTACCAGTTCGCCATCGGCCGCCTTGTCAACGGTGTTGGCATCGGTGCCCTCTCCGTCGTCGTCCCCATGTACCAGTCCGAGTCCACCCCCGCCATCATCCGCGGTGTCATCGTCTCTACCTACCAGCTCTTCATCACCCTCGGTATCTGGACCGCCGAGATGGTCAACTGGGGCACCAACAAGAAGGTCGGCAGTGCTTCTTGGCGCATTCCCAACGGTCTCGGCTTCGCCTGGGCCCTGATCCTCGGTGCCGGTATCCTGATGCTCCCCGAGTCTCCCCGTTACGCCTTCCGCAAGGGTCGTGAGGAGGAAGCCCGCAACACCATCGCCAAGCTTGCCGGCGTCGAGCCCAACTCCCCCTCAGTCAACGCTCAGATCGACGAGATTCGCGCCAAGGTCGAGGAGGAGAGCGAGGGCGTCGATTCCATCTTCGAGATCTTCACCGGTCCCCGCATGCTCTACCGTACCGTTCTCGGCGTCGTCCTCCAGGCCGGCCAGCAGCTTACCGGTGCCAACTTCTTCTTTTACTTCGGAACCACCGTCTTCTCCGCCACCGGTCTCAGCGACTCCTTCGTCACCCAGCTTATTCTCGGCTCCGTCAACGTTGCTTGCACCTTCGGTGGTCTGTGGATCGTCAAGAATGCCGGTCGCCGCATGGCTCTGATTGTCGGTGCCCTCTGGATGATGGCTTGTTTCTTCGTCTACGCCTTTGTCGGCCACTTCGCTCTCGACCACAACGACCCGTCCAACACCCCCACCGCCGGCGCCGTTCTCGTCGCATTCTCCTGCCTGTTCATCGCCGGTTTCGCCACCACCTGGGGTCCCCTCGTCTGGGCCGTCGTCGCTGAGCTCTACCCTGCCCGCTACCGTGCCCCTGCCATGGCCCTGGCTACTGCCTCCAACTGGCTCTGGAACTTCCTCATGTCCTTCTTCACCCGTTACATCACCGACGCCATCGACTACCTCTACGGTCTCGTCTTTGCCGGCTGCTGCGGTGCCCTCGCTATCATCGTGTTCTTCTTCGTCATCGAGTCCAAGGACCGCACCCTCGAGGAGATCGACACCATGTACGTCCAGAAGGTCAACCCCATCACTTCCGCCAAATGGGTTCCCCACGAGAAGCGCCACGGCGCCCACGAGTCCGCCTCCGCCAGCGACGCCGAAAAGAACGAGCCCGCCACCGCTTAAGCGCCTCGCCGCTTCAGTACCGAGCACGTCACTTCTTTTTTCTCGCATGGATACCCCCCCCCNGCCCCCCCCCCCCCCCCCCCCACCCCAATCCTTGGGAACGCAAAAAGTTTTCAGGATTGTAACGTGGATCACGCATCGTCAACTGCATCTGCATTTGCATGCATCATGACTCTCCTTTGGAGTCTGTTTCTTGTATCATAAGTTTTTATTCAAGTCATTGCGACGGCGTTGGGAGGGTGGCATTCTCTGTTCATGAGGAATGAGACATTAGTAATACACTTTGAACACATCACAAACATCTCTTGCTGTTCCTCACTGGTGATCTCTGTGGTTCTTGTCCCGGTGCCATTCGTGATCTCTGTCTTTTCCAACACGGGGATAACGGCCTTTGCCCGCCGACAAGCTGACAGCCCCATATCGCCGTGATATCCGCCACCCCGGCCCGGGTCGTCTCGTTTTCGGGTGCTAGTCATTGACATGCCGCAACGGCCATGAAAACAGGCATCTTTCGGCGGGCTCTCTTGATGGAAATGCCAAGTCACCTCCGCCGACTCCGACGCCACATGCACGTCGGGTCGTCACATCGAATCCCCTCGGATATTCACCGTTGGCTGGAGTTATCCCTCTCCGGGACTGATTGCGGGACACGCTCTGCGTCTCCGGGATCTAGGGGAGGCGGTAGGGGATTGTAAATCTCGGGTGGCGTGGGAGGCGCGGGAGGCGTGGGGTCGTATCCGGGGTCTGGTGCGGAGGCATGCCGCGCGGGACCGGGACCGGGTGCGTAATAGGGATGGGGATGAAATGGGTGTAGGTAAGGCTTGGGTTCGGCGGAAGGTGATTGGAGCGCTTTTTACCTGGTTAGACCCTTGTAAGCTGCTAGTTGGCTTGGTTTGATGGGACGCATGTGTTCTCGCACCATTGTGTTGTGGTTCTTTGTTGGAGATGTTCTGGTACAACAATGTATTGATGAATTGATCTTCCCTCGTGTCTCTTAAACGGAGACTGTCTGTCCTGGGTTGCGCTCGATGAGAGTTCGTTCCCGTTCGACTAGACTTGTGTTGTCCGTTTCATCCCTTTCCGTTACCAGCTCAGATCCTGAGGGCACGACTCTTTATGGCATGTCCGCCTCTTGCTAGATAGTACCCTGGCGTTGCCGAGAGATTTGGGGACGAGAAGCCTCTTTTGTTGATATACTGGCAGGCTAGTCTCACCTTCCAGGACAACAGATGCCGTCATGAAAAGGATCCGCAGTAATGGGCGCATTGAGCCATGTCTGCCGTGGAACATCTCGAGACCACGGACCCTCCTGGCTGTGTTCAAACTGCCTTTTAAATCTCTCCTAAGCTCACAATAGCTGTGATCAATGCATTGTGATAAAGTTGGTCATCCCTCCTATTCTGACCCAACTTGCTTCTGAAATACAGCAATCCATAAGTTGCAGCCGTTCGTACCTCCCATATCTCCCCAGCCCGTCTCTTCCAAGAAGACACATGAGCTTGGTGATAGTCCACTGGGTCTGGTGCTCTGGATCTGGGTGTCCACTCAAAGCCAGGAACTCCATGAAATACTCCTCGGGCTGGCTCTCTCGCCATGCTCGGTCCAGCCATATGTATCCCAACGGGCGCTTTGCCTCACAATCGCCGTGGGCATCATGCTCTGCGGCATCGTGGCGGACTTCCGTCTGGTTTGAGTTGGATAGCAGGCGAGCCGACACTGAGAGGACTGTCATATGGCTGCAGTGCGTCGGAAACACGGCGTAGAGTCCATTCGACTCCGCCTGTCTTTCTGGCGTGAATGAAATGAAGAGATCAGTTGTGCTCGCCAACAAGCTGAGAAACGGAATGTTGTAGAACGATGACGAGAAACTGGTGGGAAACCCAAACTCGGCCAGCTGGCACGGCTTCCGCGCTCGGTGGCCCGAATGCGCTGCTTTGAGGCGAGGTATGCCCCCATCATAGCCTCCTCCAGCCATTTGGTTTGTACGAGCTTTCTTCAGCAAGTCCCTGTCGAAGGTGACGCCGCAATCCCATCCGAGCCACGACCAGCTGGGAAAGTGAGGATTTCGCAGTTCTGGATGATGGAGCTCGGTGCGCCAGCAGAATGCTTGATCGAACGCACAAGTCGGGAGGCCGTAGTGGAACACGGACTGTTGTCCATCCATCATCCCCTCGTACCGCTGGAAGACTGCCTGGAATGCCGAGATCTTGTCGGAGTTGTCTGTGAAGCTGCACTTGGAATAATGCTCCACGGCGGACACAAAGTATTCCAGCCCTTCTCCTGGGGGTATCGCGAGAAGCCCGCCGACGGTCCGCGAACTGCTGGACGCGGTTTTGGTATCTCTGATATGCAGACATGTGCCGTCAGTACTCACGACAGCTTTCTGACACTGCATGAAGATGCCGCTGGTTGTGAAGAGGACTGCTCGGTGGGATAAGGCTCGCTCTTGGTAACACCACCCGCGGCTCCCCCAAGGAGATGATTCCAGCAGCGAGTCCAGGTCGTCGACGGAATGGCAAATTGTCGCTGGTGCTCCAGGAACAGGGTTCGGAAGAAGCCCTTCATCAGCACCAGGGGCTGATACGGCAGCGATTGTGAACCTTGCCGCTGAATAAACGCGACGCATGCGCAGAATCTGGAGTCTCGTGTCACGAGTAGAGTCCTGCAATATGCAAAGCGCATCAACCCACAGGTACCTCTCCCCGATGTTCTCGCAGATAAGCATGGCATCCATGATTGTGGTAGGGATTTGATCCCAGATATCGTCAAGTCCACGGTCCTGGGAGAGACTTTGGATGTTGGCGGTGGTCAACTTGGGCTGCTCGATGCCGCCCCATACATAGGACAGGGCAGCGAATGTACACCCTTTAGGAAGAGCAACTATACATCGTTTATAAACGTCAATGAGTCGGAATTGTACACCGGAGAAGTCTTGCCATTCCAAAGGACCCTCGTGGCAACTTTCATGGTCGAGGTTATCTTCGCAGGCGTGTAGCCATCTCTTGATGGCATCCAAGTTGGCACCCGTCATTGTGGATGATCTTGATAGTCTTCTCCGGCGTCCTGTGCTTGTTGTAGTTGGTTCATACCGCTTTAGGACAGAGTCAAGGTGCCAGCTCGTCTGTGTCCTTCCAAACCCAGGCGCCCGCATGCGAGCATTCCACCACCGCGGACATTCAACGTCCTCTCCTTGCCACAGCGTCTGGTACAGTTCCCGAACGCGTTTCCATAGCTCATCGTCCCATCGACCGTCGGGACTAACATCATCAGCTTGTGCCCCATAGGGAGAAGTCACTTGGCCGGAACATACTCGACTTTAACATTCCTGGGCGAAAGACGATATGCTCGCAGTAGCACGCAGCAGACAACCAAGTCGTAGGGCTTCCGTGCTGTTCCCACTGAGCCTGCACTGTTCTGGTTGCTCAGGGAGAAAGGCTCATGTCCGTAATCACCAACTCCATTGAACACGATGCCGTCTCCAGCAGAGGCAACAGGGGGGGTTATGGTGTCGGAATGGCGCGTTGGTCCCGTGAGGATGACATCGCATGCTTCCATGATGAGCCTGGCATCGTCAACGAGTTGAGGCCAGATCGCCTGCCATCCTGCAGCATCCCAATCCGCGACATTGAAGTAATGCGTATAACTGAGTTACTTGTCATTAGTGGCTTTCAAGACAAGTTCAATGCCGCGATGCTTACACAATTTTCTGACTTGCTCCAGGCATGTCGGCGCTGACCCCGCAGGAGCGATTTACGATGCATCGACGTCGGAGTTCGGAGCATGCGACTAGAGCTGCAAGATGGGCTCTGAAGGATCATGTTTGGCAGTGTTGGTTGGCTGTAAGTCCCTTGCTCCTCCACATCTTAGCGAGAGCTTTGCTAGCCAGGCAGTGTCAGTCGGCTATGCGGGCAGTGTCCCCTAAAAATTTGATCGTAGTGTACTTGATACAAACTTCTATAAGAACATAATTAGTAGTCGGGTAGAGAAAAGGACGACGAAGATGGACGGCGAAAGCGAGTACATAGACTAGGCAACATGGGGGGTCTAGCATGATACACGGATTACATACGTGTGTATGGACACTGCCCGGCTAGCAAAGCTCCTTAGCGATGACTCCCTGGCTTGCCAGGTAGCGATTCGCCAGAGTCTCGACAGTCCCTTCAGGCGGCTGCTTCTCCACGGCAAGGAACATGAAGTGATGAGATTGTGTGGTCTTGAGGGGCCGAAGGTATTTCATTAAGTCTATTCTGCCGATTTAACAAACCCAACCGCCGTCGACATTGTAAACGGCACCAGTAACAAAAGAAGCCTCATCGCTAAGTAGGAACGCAATAACACGAGCAATCTCAATCGGCTCTGCCCTGCGCTTCTGTGCAGTAACTTGCAGCCCACGCTTGACATCCTCTGGGTTCTCGCCTCTCGACAGCGGCGTGTTGACGGATCCTTTGAACTCGTTAGCTGCCTACTACTTGATGGGTTGGATAGCTAATAGTACTTACCTGGTGAAACACAGTTTACACGAATGTTCTGGTTCTCTTTGGCCGCTGTCCTTGACAGGTTGATAACGGCCGCTTTGCTTGCGCAGTAGGCGGCATTGCCGGGCGCGCCAAACTGTCCAAATGTGCTTGCCGCCGACACCTGAAGCCGGGGCTATTAGCGCTTGAGCCCGGGATGTCAGCGCCTTAGTCACTTACAATGCTTGCGCCGGCGGACATGGCCTTCAGCTGGGATCGAATGCAGTTGAACACGCCCTTAGCGTTAACGGCGAAGACGAAATCCCAATCCTTGTCGGTAAGCTCTGCTACGGGGGTGGCATGGGTGATGACCCCGGCCATATTGACGGCGCCGTCCAGCTTGCCGTACTTCTTGACCGTATTTTGAATCCATTTGTCCACTGCCTCGCCATCCCTTACATCGACAACCTCATAAATATGGCTTTCGCTGTCTGGTAAAGATGCGACCGCCTCTTTGAGAGATGATTCATTGATGTCAGCCAGCGAGATCTTAGCGCCACGTTCAGCTAAGAGCTGAGCTGTAGCAAGACCCATGCCAGAGCCAGCGCCGGTTACAGCGACCTGCCAGCAGGCGTCAGTAGACTTACATGGGATGTGAGGGACAACTACGTACCACCTTGCCTTCAAACGAAGCCATCTTTTTATACGAAGTTTGGAAAAAACCGAAAACAAGATGAATACTCTCCTAAAATGTCCTTGGAAAAACCCCATGTCTACATCTGCTCCCCAGAGTCTTATAATGACGCGCATCAGAGACGAGTGCTAACCCATGTGTACGTGCCTGTGGCAGACGCGGCATAGCAGGCCTCCACATGACTCAAACAGAATAGGAAAGCTACTCCCGGGGCAACCAAAAACGATTCAAAACCAGGCCAAAGGACAAACAGAGACGAGCTCTTCAAGCTATCGGAAATGCCCATGACGGCAAGTCTGCACCCCGCACTTCGTATCTCGACTCTTCATGCATATGCGGGAGATATCCATGGAGGAAAGTGTTGTCAAATCGCTACGTCAAGACATAATCTACCTTTGCCGCCTCCGATCCTCGCTTCCCCTCCCAACGCCTCTCGATGTCCGCCAACGAGTCACTGAAGATCCGAAGACCGCTCCGACGCGCCCAATCCTTGAACCATTGACTAAACGACATCCGCACCTCTGGATCCTCCGCCTCACTCGCGGCTATGAAGGCAGGCCACACGAGTCTGGCCGAACCATACCCCATCTCCGACTCGGTCGCTTCGAACCGGAGCAAGCAGTCACGAACGCCTATCACCTTGTCCTGCAGCATGTCTGCCTCCACGTCGTATACCTTCCGATAGAAATAAATAGCCAATGCCAATTGCATGGCTTGCGCAAGGTTGTCAAGTAGCTGCTGGCAATGCTGAAGCTCGGGGTCCGTGATCAACCCGTCTGCCACCACGTGGCTGGGTTTCCGCTTGAGCTGGTGGATGCACTTCTCGACAGACTTTGCGCGGCTCATGAACTCTTTCAGGCCGGTTGCATCAGAGAACATCTCATCGTCCTTTGCTCTCCCTAACCGGATGACGAGGGAGAGCAGAAAGACGTGGATCTCGGGTATCCCAAAGATTTCCGGGTACAGTGTGGCGGTCCATATACCGGGTATCTGCAGGTGCAAGTCGTTCTCGCCGACGTCCTGGTCCTTGATTCTCTGCATTTCTTGGTCGAGATTGACCCATTCTGTCAATCGGAACGACAAGCTGTCGAGGCTATAGGAGCTTGCGTTGCTCGCTTCGATAGCTTTGCGGACATGTTTGCGGTGCTCAGACTGGATGCTTCCGGGAAATGTGCTCTCGTGTAGCAAACGCTCAAAGGCGTAGCAGTGGTGAAGCAGCCGAACTTTGCGGGACTTCTTGCGGTTGAGGCCTTTGACGCGGATAAACTTCTCTGCCTCGAGCAAGTAGCACTCCGCTTGATCTCGATTACCAGATACACTGGAGATCTGGACCATTGTCAAGATTGCTATCAAGATGGACTTGTACTTGGCTGTCTTGGGCACTTCGTAGGCTGTTTGGAGCATGAGCCGGACGTGCTGACGTGCTCGTTGCTTGTAGCTCTTGGCTTGCTCGCACCACTTTCGAGAGTTGGAAATGCCACCGAGACTCGATGCGCTGATGGCGAGTGTGCCGTAGAAAGCAGTAAGGCTGGCATGATCCATATCCTCACCAAGGGTTAGAGCAGCCAGGCAGCTTTTGACGTAGGGAATGAATAGAATATGCCATGGGGTTTTGCTGTGGCGAAAGGGAGTGAAGCCCCTGAGGACTGTGGTGGAGTAGTGTTTGAGTAAGAAAACTGCATCGTGAGGCACGTTACAGTCTATAGTTGGCGGTATGGAGGAGCTTTCTGGTGTTGCTAGTTGCTGGGCCGGGGTTTCTGGGAAGACATGGGAAAGGCATGCGTCTTGTGGCGGGATCAGTGTCCTAGGTGACTGTTGGAGACCTGAGAAAGTGATGTCGGTAATGTCTCGGACTCGATCCAAGTCTACCGGTGTATCCCACCAGTTTCCTACACTTGGTAGGTCGCTCATGGTCCACCATTCGTTCATGTTCCACCACTCTGTTATGGGACTCAGCTGTCGTTGATCAAAGCTATCCAAGCTCGGTCCTATTGGTGATGGGGTCTTCGTCAATGGCGGATCTTCAGGCGGCGCCAAGAATTCTTCATCGGCTTCCTCGGGGATATCCTCGAATATCCCGTGAGTGGATTCCGCGGGGGCAACAACCGAGAAGTCTGACTCAGGGCTGGACATAGGCAAATCTTTGACAGGTTTTGCTGGTGACTGAGGTATCCTGAAGACTCCGAAGGGACCTCGGCTGATGTCTATGTTCTGGGATACTGGTAGTCTTTCGCACTCATCCTCTATCTGCGCAATGTGCCAGAGAGTCAGTGCTGGTGGGACGCTCGAGGTGAGTTTCTCGCTCATAGACTCGCGCTCCTCCTCCGTGAGTAATGGACGCCGGAAACGCGACATGCCGGAGCTTGGGATATCTTCAAAGTCGAAAAAGATGTTTTTCTCATAACCACTACACATCAGGCCCGAGGCCTCGCACATAGAACACGTCGGCCGCCCCTCGTCGCACTTCATCCTCCGGTTCCGACACTGCAGCTGGTCAGCCAGTTGATCATGCAGACTGGGCATCTCGCGACCTGATAGACAGGGTCGCATGACGTACCGTACCACATCCGCCAAATGACCGGCTGCGGCGGGCTTCTGTGTCGATAAGCCGTGAAGCACGGGGGTTTCTAGAGGTGGCGGCCATCATCCGAAATGAGCAGTTTTTCCACAGGTTTCACTTGCTCCTAAGTGCAGAAAGGGAATCAAAGGCGGCCAGGGGCACAACAACTCAAGGTTATCAACACAATATAGATATGGAAAGTTATGTCAAGCGGCTGAGTCTTCGCCTTCGTTGACCCCGAACAAGGACATGTCATCGGACGGGAGAACGGTGGAGAGTCGACGCGAAGAGATAATGCAACGTTAGCGTATCCGCCTGAGCGGAGAGAGATAAGAGCGGGGGATGCCACACCAAGCCCCATAATTAATCTGGGGTACATGTCCGCGCGCTGATACTGGGGAAGCTTTCCTATCTTACCCGGCCCTTGGCTGGTTGCGAACAGGGCTCGTCGGACTTATCTTGTCGACAGGCGCGTTCAAGGCAACTTTGCAGCAAGTGACATGACGCTAAGGGGTACGTTGGAAAGTAGGGAGCGATTCTTGGCATTTGACAAGGACTCAGTCATTGCCCTCCAGCTGGGTTGAAGCTGACACGGCCCGTGGCAAGTTTAAAGAGAGAATGCCTCGCAACCAAGTGGCCTGTTCACCGAATAATGAGACACCATCTCATTTTGTACATGACTGTTCGTTTAACATTGCCTCGAATGCATCTTTGATATCACACCTACCATCTCACCAACATGACCTTGGATCACGACAAGCCCCCCTTTTCAAAGGAGGCCATCTCTTCTGACGACAATGCCAACGATGAGAAAGGTCAAGAATTCGGCCGACTCGAAAGCCATACCCAGGGACAATCACAGTTTGTTGGCCAGGGAGGCACAAAGAGAAATGTCAAGTCACGACATGCTCAGATGATTGCCATCGGAGGCAGTATCGGAACTGGTCTTTTTGTCGGTTCTGGCCAAGTCCTTGCGGCAGGAGGACCTTTGTTCCTCTTCCTGGCATATGCTCTGACATCTATCTTGGTGTATGGAGTTGTGACGGCGGTCATGGAAGTTGGAACATACCTCCCTGTTACCGGCAGCTCCATGTCCTACTACTGCAACCGTTACGCCTCACGATCTCTTGGATTTGCTCTCGGCTGGCTCTACTTTTACTCATTCGGAATTATCCTCGCATACGAAATCACGGTCGGATCTATTATTATAAACTACTGGCCAAACAACGTTCCGAACGCTGTGTGGCTCACGCTGTTGTTAATCGTCATCGTTGGGCTCAACTTTTCCCCAGTGGCCGTATATGCGGAGACCGAATTCTGGTTTGCCAGCCTGAAAATCATCCTCTTCATTGGTCTATTGCTTTTATCAGTTGTTCTGATTCTCGGAGGAGGCCCTAGCGGCCAGCGCTTGGGATTCTACTACTGGGTTGATCCAGGAGCCACGAAAGAATACATCATTACGGGCTCTGGTGGCCGTTTCACTGCGTTCCTCTATGGATGGGTGTTTTCCGGCTTCTCTTTCTACTTCAGCCCAGAGCTCATCATCATTACCGGCGGAGAAATGCAGAACCCTCGGAAGAATCTTCCCATTGCGAGCCGGAGGTTCTTCTACCGACTTATCATTTTCTACCTCCTGGGATCCTTAGCAATTGGTGCTATTTGCAACTCCAACTCCGAGGGCCTGACGTCTGGAGCCGGCAACGCCGACGCATCACCTTGGGTTATTGCCATCAGAAATGCAGGAATCAACGGGCTTCCCTCCGTTGTGAATGCAGGCATTCTGACCAGCGCTTGGTCTGCTGGTAACTCCTACCTCTACATGGCGAGCCGGTCTTTGTACTCGCTTGCTGTTGCTGGCAACGCCCCGAAGATTTTCGCTCGCTGCAACAGCTACGGACTCCCCATCTACGCTGTCATTGCTGCTAGCTGCTTCACCATACTGGCATATCTGAGCGTTTCATCAGATGCCGGAGTTGTGTTCAACTGGTTCGTCAGTCTGACAAACACCGCTGGCTATACATCATGGATTTTCTGCGGTGTCATATTCCTTCGCTTCCGCAAGGCTTGTAACGTCCAAGGCATCAAGGTTCCTTACCAGTCATGGTGTCAGCCGTACGGGGCGTACATATCCATGGCCTGCTTTACTTTCCTGCTCTTGGCCAATGGCTTCACGGTCTTCTACCCTGGCAGGTTCTCAGCGTCCAGCTTTTTGACAGCTTACATTGGCATTCCGCTCTTCATTGTCATCTACCTCGGCCATAAGCTTACTGCTGGCAAGAACGACCCGTGGCTGTATGCCCCCGAGACAGTTGATCTCACATCGGATCTCAGAGAGGTTGAGGCTGAAGCTGAGTGGTGGACCAACTTGGAGAAGGAGAAGGAAGAGAAAGCGGGTCCAGCCAACAAGGCTTGGCGTATGGTGTCGGCGATTTGGGGATGAGTCAAGCACGCAAAGGAAGGACATCCTATTGTCACGGAAAAGTCTAGTGCCGCTACCCAGATCACTACACGTTTATCCAGCTGCTGCCCAAGGTCAACTAAGCTGCGTCTCATGTGCAAGGGAAATCTCCTAGGAGAACTCGAATTCCACCTCGGTGTTGTCAGGAATTGCGTGCATTGTGACTGAACATGTAATACTGTCGTGCCTGTTCCGTGATTTGCCTTTGCCAATTGACTCGAAAACCGCGGTCTAATTTGGAACGTATCCGAAGAATGATGGTCAGCCAGCCACATGCCAGCGCTCCAAGTACGCATACTCACCTGGCGAATCATGGGTGGTCTTCCGTGACTCAAGTCCCTATCATGGAGAAGGTGTGCAACTCTGGCACCCCAGTGATGTGCCGGCAAAGTTTAAGATAGCTCATGCTTGATATCTTTCTATCAGTGGTGGAATTGATGAGACATTTCAAAGGGGAAAGCCATCCCTTCACGCTAGGATGTGTTGGTGGGCAATGCGGGGGAAGGGCCAGATCGGCGACTATTCTTATCGCCGCCTGCTAATTCCAGAGATGGAAAGCTATCCCCTCGACCTAAGTCGCCTCCCGCGATAGGCCCCACTCGATCAGCTGTTTGTATGCCATGGATGCATCAAGATACTGCGATGGGAAAGTTGTGCAGATACCTTCTCAGCGGCAGAGTTTCTGACACGGTCATAGTGACTACCTTTTGGCGCGTGTAAATGTCGTTGAACAGCTATTTAGACATGTCCTGAACTTCAACAACACAGCCAACAATCAACTACTCGTTAGCCTGTCTTACAACACCAATTGAGCCTGTGTCTTGCAGTCTCTGGACCCCAAAATCTTATTCGTATCTTATACATACTAGCAGCCATGGGTTCCATTCCGACACCAATCAAGAAGACCTTTGATGTCCTCATCATCGGCTCTGGCCTCTCCGGCCTTGCAAGTCTCCACCATATCCGCAAGCAGATGCCCGATTGCCGCGTCCAAGTTCTCGACAACGGTGCGGACGTCGGCGGCACCTGGTTCTGGAACCGGTACCCCGGATGCCGCTTTGACTGCGAGTCCGTGTCTTACGGGTACTCTTTCGACAAGGAGCTTTTGCAGGAGTGGCATTGGAAGGAGGCCTTCTCTCCACAGCCCGAGACGCACAAGTACATCCGTCGCTTCGCCGAGAAGAACGACTTGTACAGCCACATCCAATTCAACACAACCATCAAATCCGCAAGATGGGACGACAGCGATCGTACATGGACGTTCGTTGACCAGGATGGAAATCAATATGTCACTACCTTTTTCTTGAGCTGCATTGGCTTCCTCTCCACGCCATCACTTCCCGCTATTCCCGGTATCGAGAACTTCAAAGGCCAGTCTTTCCACACTTCCAGGTGGCCAGAGGACCTAAGCTTGAGTCGCGACTTTTCTGGCAAGCGTGTCGGTGTCATTGGTACTGGCGCAACGGGTATTCAGACCATCACAGCCCTTTCGAAGGAGCCCAGCATCAAGTCTCTCAATGTGTTCCAGCGCTCGGCGACCTGGACCGTGCCTCTTCGCAACTATGAAATCTCTGAAGAGAAGATGGAGGAGTTGAAGAACAGCTACGACAACATCTTCAAGATCTGCCGTTCTACTCCTTCCGGCTTCATGCATATGGCTGATACCCGCAAGACTATGGAGGTCTCAGACGAGGAGCGTCTGGCTCTTTGGGAGAAGCTTTACAACGAGCCAGGTTTTGGCAAGTGGCAGGGTGTGTTTAGCGACGCCTACACTGACCGTAAAGCCAACGAGTTGTACTCTAAGTTCATCGCCGACAAGATCCGCCAGAGAGTCAACGACCCCGACGTTGCAGAGAGCCTGATACCCAAGACCTACGGTTTCGGTACTAAGCGAGTGCCCCTCGAGAGTGGTTACTTCGAGGCCTTCAACCAAGATAACGTCCATCTTATCGACTTGAAGAAGACACCAGTCGCCGAAGTTACCTCAAAGGGCATCGTGACATCGGATGGCAAAGAGCATGAGCTTGACATTCTCATTTATGCAACTGGGTTTGATGCCATCACCGGCTCCTTCAGTGCTATTGATTGGCAAGGCAAGGACGGTCGTCCATTGATCGCACCTAGCGGAACACCCAAGGGCGACAAGGCTGTATGGGTTGACAACAGGCCCTATACCTATCTTGGCATGACGGTCCCTTCCATGCCTAACATGTTCATGGTTCTCGGCCCGCATCAACCGTTCGGTAACGCTACGCGAAACATCGAGCATGCCGTGCAGGTAATTGTGGAACTCTTGAAGTACTGCAGGGAGAAGGGTTACACGTATGCTGAGGCTACGGAAGAGGCCGCAGATGGATGGACGGAGCACGTCTTTGAATGCAGCAAGGGCTCTTTGGTCAATGAGGTTGACAGTTGGATGACCGGTGTCAACACCAACATTAGGGGCAAGCAGGTTCGAAGCGTGGTGAGATACGGCGGTTCAGCACAGGAGTTCCAGAGAAGATGCAGGGAATTTAAAGAAGCTGGATATAAGGGTTTAGTATTGGCTTAGAATTGATATAGCGCCAATTATTTCGTTACACTCATTTTCATTCACACTCTTACAACCTCCAAATCCCGAAGTGGT